AAGGGCTGGAGGTAGGGTAAAATGCAAGTAGTAAGCTCTCAAAGCTCTCAAAGCTCTCAAAGCTAAGATTGGGTGACATTTCTATTGGGCAGTAGATTCCTCAGAAGAATCTAGCTGATGAAGTATATAGCGCTGTTTTCTTAAAAGGTGTGTCCTACCTAAAGGTCTGGAGTTCAGGTAATAGCTTCTGAGAGTCTGGATCTTGGTTTAGTCAATCTTTGTGGTTTTGAAGATTTGATAGATCTGTTCCACACAAAAATACTCTTTTCTGAAAGTGTTATGTGATTGTGGTTTACAACAATCAGATTGTAGTTCACGTTGCCCCTAGGCTAGATTCTTGCAGCGTCACAGTTGGCCTTCACTACACTTGACACTGGTTTCTGAGAGTTTAAAATAAAATATGGAAAATACTTGTTGGATCCCCAAATTGTTGGTTCTGTAGCAGGAACAATGAGAAGACTGCAGAGTGGGAAAGGAATGGATGTGTTAAGTGCTTAACTTGTCATGTTAGGAGCATGTGTCCTGTGTCAGTGATAATCCTGGAGGTGAGACCTGTGCTTGTTTTATAGCCTTTGATCTGATGCCAGAGTTAACGAAAAAATAATGTCCGTTTTGTCTTGGAGTCTGTATTGTTTTGTTTTGTTTTATGAGATGGAATTGACTCGTATCAGACATGAATTCATGACTAGTTTCCTTTATATTTTGATATAACTGATGAAGTGCTGATTTGATGATAACCAATACCAGTGAGCATCTTACTTTTTTGTTTTTTTTAAATAGGCATCATGGATCAGGTAATGCAGTTCGTTGAGCCGAGTCGGCAGTTTGTGAAGGACTCAATTCGGCTGGTCAAAAGGTGCACTAAACCTGATAGAAAAGGTAATAGCTTTAAAATGGGAGAAAAGATTAAATCTTTACATTTGCTAAATCTTTTCTTTGATTGGTATCTTTCTGCTTAATAGCCGTTGCATTATTTTGTCAACATTTTTAGCGATTCATTTTGCTTTATTGTATTTTAATATTGCCATTTTCTAAATTTTGTACACTTTTTTACACTTTACAGATTTTTCCGTTTTATGTATTTTCAAATGGTGAAAGATAATTTATCACAGCCTTGTGTTTCATGTTAGGTTTGCCTTAGTGGTATTTAATGACTTTAGAGTTTTAGGTGTCAGTGTCTTCCACATTTCCACTCCGAAAGATCTTTTGGAGTCCTCCCTTCTCTGTTGCTGCCCCCATTTCCTCCCCCCAAAACAAAACCTTAACATGAAATCAACAGTATAGTTGTTATCGATCTACTAAGTTAAACTTCGTTTATCATGATTCATCTGTAAAAAGGTGCACCAGAAATGGTGTACCTTTATTCATTTGAGTGTTTCCCGAGTTAGCACCTGGGAATATAACAGAATATAATATATATGTAGTGTAATAAATATATACACATATGTAATAGAGACCTGTCCATGTTCTTGTGTAGTGTAGAATCTTTCAGGGAATATAGTCATGAACCAGTAATGGCAATTATAACTCTAATTACTTCTGCGGTAATTACCGTGAAAGACAAATAGAAGTATGGACAGCACATAATAGTAGGACTAACCAAGTCAGGAGGGCACGGGGGCTTCCCTGAGCAAATAACATTAAATGGAGCATTACCATGGTCTGAAACCTGTTTTCAGATTGTGCCCAGCCCAGCTTGATTTCTCAAGCCTTATTCCTGGCTTCATTATGATATCAAAGACGACAGCTCTATTGTTCATTAAAAATCATGTTTTATGTTTTCATAATTAATACTTTTTTTTAAATTAGAGAGAGAGTGCGTGCGCAGGGGAGGGGCAGAGAGAGAGGGGGAGACACAGAATCTGAAGCAGACTCCAGGCTCTGAGCTGTCAAGCACAGAGCCTGATGCAGGGCTCGAAACCATGAACTGTGAGATCGTGACCTGAGCTGAAGTTGGAGGCTTAATCGACTGAGCCACCCAGGCACCCCTATAATAAATCCTTTTAACAGTGTAACAAATTTTGAGATGGATGCTGTATATTTCTGTTATCCATGTTTCTTTTTTCTTTTTCTTTCTTTTTTTTTTTTTTTTTTTTTTTTTTTTTTTTTTTTTTTTTTGATATTCTGGTCATTTGATAAGAAGTTAGAGTATTTTGCTGCTTGTTGATGGAATCACTAGCATGGGCATACACTTTATTTCTATGTGTCCTTAAATATCAAAGAAGAAAATTAAAAAATTTGTCAAGCAAATATTTATTAATAATGTCATGTTTTGTTTAACTTAAAATGATATGTTCACTCTGGAGAAATGTACACCAGTAAGTTTATTTATATTGCTGCTAATTTTTTCTCCTATATTTGCAATGTCAATGTAAAAAATTATCTAAATTTTGTGTTTTTAAATCCAGAATTCCAGAAGATTGCCATGGCAACAGCAATAGGATTTGCTATAATGGGATTCATTGGCTTTTTTGTGAAATTGATCCATATCCCTATTAATAACATCATTGTGTAAGTAAACTTTTTGAAATAGACAGTATCTAGTATAGAATAAAAACTGAAATCATTTGAGTTGACAGCCTGCGATGTTATTAATACACAGATATGTGCTTTGACTTTTTAATGCTGCTAGAGTCTGCTGCTATTTATTGAGTACCTGATAATTCAGAGTGATTTTATATGTTATACAGTCTTTATTAGCAACTCTGAGATAGGTACAGTTTTCTTTTATAAATACAATTTTAAAGGGTCACGAAAGTGAGTTAAAAACAGTTTGTGACCAAGCAAGTGACAGAACCAGTATTCAAATTTAAGTCTTCTTTATGCTGTATATTAAGTTGTTGGTT